TCATTGCCAAGTAAAACTGGATTACTCACTGATGAGGAAGAAAAAAAAGGAAAGGGAAAAAAAAACCCCAAAAAGTCCAAAAGAACAAAATGCTCCTCAAAACTTCTCATTCATCTTTTATTTCTTCTTAGCCTCTGTTTTTTCTCTCTTTTTTAAAAATTAGAGAATAAAATCCCTTTTTTTTTTAAGTTACACTAAAACCTATGAAAAAAACATTTTTTAAGGCCTCGCCCCTGAAACTTAATTCATTTTTGATAAACAAATTAGCCTTTAGGATTTGATGAACAGAAAAGGCCTGGGGAGAAGCTTCGAGCCCAGGTTTGGGGCTGCAATGTCAGCAGTGCCCTACTAGCCTCACCCTTGACAAGGTCTGCGGCGAGCACAGTCTCCCTTCCCCCTTCCTTGCACCTTCGAATTCGGAAAGGAGCCACAAAACGGGCTTTCCCTGCAAAATCCCCCATTGCTGCACTCCATTAAACTCATCGGAATGAAAAGGATGGCACCACAGCCTTTCAGCCATGCTTGAAAAGCAAAGGGAAGGGAAAAATCCTTCATTCTTGGCACGTTTTAAGTCTGCTCCTTCTTGGCAGATATAGCAATCACATATTTCTGCTAATCCTAGACCATGTAAGATGACTTAGACAAATTTCTGTGAATTCATGTTTGCTCAGCATAACCCAGCACTCTTCCCAACAGAGTTCTCATATACAAGATGTTCAACATAGACATTTCCAGATTGCATGATTTCTTTTTTTGAAATATGCTCACACAAGCCAATATTTCCAGTTCTTTTAGGGAGCTGGAACTGCCCCAGGGGAAAAGTTTAAAAGCCTTTAGCAGAGTTCAAATGTCATCCTGTGTGTCAGAAGTAACAGAAGAGGAGGATCCTGCAGGAATTGTCTCCCTGTAGGCACATGTGCCCCAAGGTGAGTAAAGGCTGCTGCTCGTCTGATGTGTTTTTCAGAATTTGGTGGGCAGTACTGGTGGTTGATGATATGAGAGAAACTGATCCAGGAGCATTAAGATTATAAACACAAACTTGTGCACGAGAAAGTCGTGCTGCTTGCTTCTTCTTTAAACTTTCTGAGGAGAGTTAGACTGGAGCAGTTTGGCAGAATCAAATTTCATGTTGTAAACCACCTACTCTGGTATTGATGGGACTCGGTTAAGAACAGTCATCCCTAAAGTATCTGGCCTCCGACAGCACCTCTGTGCTAGTTACAGTTCCTGCGTGATCCTTCACAAGGAAAGCAAATCATGCACCTACAGAACTGAATTGTTCTAAAATCAAAAAACAGCGTTTTAAAAGGACAAGTATGTGTAATGACTGTAACCCATGAAAGGAGACTATCATCACACAAATTCTACACATCTAAATAATCTTACATGAAAACTATTGGACAGAGTCAAACAAGCAGTATTTAGAACTGCACTATCTATTTCCACTTAATCCTGCAGATTTTACTTGCTGTCCATTTTAAGAGCAACAGATGTTTATGGAGTTAAAAAAAAAAAAAAAACAATTAATGAACAAAAAAAAGAGAGAGAGAGAGAGAGAGAGAAAAAAAAGACCCCCACACTCACGTGGCTCCACCAGAACCTCCCTTCCAGAGCACCACGTCCTCACTTTGCTAGGGAGTTAAGTAGAACGCAGCGGGGCAACCCGAATTCCAGAGCAATCCGTGCCTGGATGAGGCTACATAGACCGTGGACAATTCAACTGAAGTGCCCACACGCAGGGGAGAGCCACTTCCCCAGCTTAGCATCCAAAGCTCTTAGCAATTGCTTTGCTTTGGCGCTGTCTTTCCACACTTACTAACTGTATACGGGTCTGAAATTTTCCCAACCACGCTCCTCTTCAGAAACACTGGTTCCTGCGCGGATGCTGTACCACATGCTCCACACAACTCAATACAGAATAAAAGGACAAGACTAAATATCAGCCCAAGCTGGCTTATTTTGCTTTTCTCAAATTGAGGGACAGGAAAACCATGCAATAGGCATATATTCAGGAATAGGAAAATATGCAATAGGAAGCAAGGGGTCTGGGATGGGTTTTATTTCCAAACTGCTACATCTACACACCTACCTAAAGATGACAAAATGCTTATATTTGCTAATACAAATGCTTAAATAAGCACATGAGACTGACTAGAAAAAAGTGTTTATTTTTAACAAAATATTAACTGCCAAATCTAAAAACATGTAAATTTTCGTCAGGCAATGTTAAAAGATAAAGATCTGAAAGGCCGAGTTTCAACACACACCTATTAAAATAACTGACATGTAGACCTAAAGGACTAGAGCACAGAGTCTATAATTACCATGTGGAAAAATTCATTAATGCAGAAAGTTTTCTGTTAGCCTTTCAATGTAAAGCTTAGTGCTAGCTTGGACAAAAATTAACATACATCAAATACAGCAAAAATGATATGGTTCAATTTGCTATTAAATATGTTAATTATCAAATTATCCTGTAAAAGTGCATTTTGAGAGTTAGATCTTACAAAGCGTTTGGAAATCTAAATTCCATTTAAATGCCTGTCCAAAACCCTAATCCAGAACTGTCTAGAGACTGCTTAGCTGCTGCCGGCTCATACCCAAGTTCATTCCCTGACATCTTCCTCGACCTTGCATTTCCTCGTGTGCACCACATGTGGATATAAGAAGGGCAAGTTTGAACCCATCCGAATGCCACTGATTCTTTGCATTTCACTTTGACATTAGGACAATTCTAATTTTTGTACAAACAAAAGCTCTTTGGGCAGTTATGAAATTAGAAACCAGATCCATGGGTAATATATTAAACATTAACACATTAATTTTTTTTTTTTTTAGAGAAGCAGAGGTTATTAATAGTTTCCTGAACCAATACGTACATTTTCCTCTTCACCCATTTTTCTTCAACGTTACTTGTTTGAATAATTTTTTTGTCTGCTTCCTATTTTTGACTTTATAGTCTAGCAAGGATCCTACCATATTATACATTAAAAAGAAACAAATAAAAAATTAAACAGTGTTCTAATTTCTCTATATCCATGAGCTGTAGGTTCCTAAAGGCTATTGAGATATTCTATTAACAAGGTATGTTTCAGGTATGTTTTTGAATGCTAAAATATTAGGTTAAGATAAATACATTTTACAGATAAACATCACATAAAATAAGAATGGAGATAACTTTCATAAATTTATTAAATGTATTTTATGCCATGGTAGCATATTTGCACCTGATACAGGTGGCACAATGAGGATACTTTTTAAGATGAAAAAACTATTTTAATGTCCAAATAGTAAGTTATAGTAAATCTGTGAATAAATAATAAATATTTACATTGACTGCCTTCTCTGTATAAAACCTGTGATTTTAACAATTAACTAAAATACATAATATTAAAATATATCTGTTGCTCAGATACAAAGGGTTGATACTTTCTTTAAGCTTATTGTTTAAATGCTTATAAAACATTTATGTGGAATTAAAAATTAGTGTTTTGTACCTTATCTATACCTGAATTATTGGTAATAGACCAATTTCTAGCAAAAAAACCTGTAACATACTGGCTAAAGGTTTAACATACTAAAAGCTCAAGACTACATGCAATACAGACAAACATTCATACATACATTTGTAATCACTTCTATACGAACCTAGTTTAAGGCATATAATTGTAACTTAAATAAGCAAGCTGCCTACCAGAGCTCGTAAGCAAACACGCTGCTAGGTATCTGCACAAGTCCCAGTTCCAGTTGTTTGCTCTCTTTAGTCCATGGGCTTATGCTTATTCTTCAAAAATGCTAAGTTTTCTTCTTATCTATCCAGTTAATTCAGATTTGTTAACTTCTACTGGAATTAATATCACAGCCTTAGAAAATAATTTTCTTTACCTCTAATTTCCATATTTTTTATTATTATACTTACTTCTTAAGTTCTCTTGAGTGATCCTGAAAAAAACAACTTATTGCTCTGAATTTGTCTCCTTATAAGAGATGCAATTAATGGTATCTTGTATTTTAAAGAACTTCATAAACTCCAGATGGTAAGTGAGAAATCAAAATTGAATTCAAACACCATTACTCTTATACAAAGCTAACCTTAGACGTCTGAGTCACAGTCTCTCTCTTTTTTTTTGGGGGGGTTGTCTTAATTATGACTTTTTTTTGATCTTAAATTTTTGGTCTTAATTATGAAATTAAAGGCAGCTGATAGAATTGAAATAAAAGTACACTAAGACTGACAGTGAAGAGTTTCAGGAGGTATCTGTCCCTAGGTAGAGACCTTAACATGCAGGTACATGCATGAGAGACCTTAACATTACAGTATTATTATATAATATATACTGTAATTATATAATAATCATTCTAACAATTATTATTATATAGTTACAGTGTACAGAATATAATAATACTGTGATCTGAATTTTTACATACATATAATGGCTATTTAAATGAATAATTTAGGCCTGTGACCTCAGGAATACTATCAAAGCTGCCTACAAGGAAAATCCTACTCATCATATTCAAGATATATCACTTACAGCTGAAAAGGAATCCACACATGCAAAAAATATAGCAAGATTTGCATAATATATAGTAGCTTGTGAGTGCTTTATGATCATTCACTGTATATAGACTGCCCAAGGAGAGCCAAGCCAAATGTCACATTGCAGTAGCTGAAGATCTTCATAGCACTGACATGCCTACGGAAAGGCGCCCTCCCTCCAAGACCATGATATCTTTTTGAAACATGTCTGCTATCCCTTACTGCAGGAAACTTATGTAATTCCTTACTTTCTTTCCTTACTGAAGGAAACTTCTGACTACGAGATAAACTTTTTTTCTAAAAAGTCACTACTGATAGGGTTTTTTCTCCTATGAAACATAAGAACAACTATGTGCCCCCTTCCTTTGCCTCTCTATTTCTACCAGTGCCAAATAGATATGCTCCCAGCTGACTTCTTACATTTTTCCTGAATTTTTACTTACAAGAACATAAAATATGATAGCAAAAATGCTTGGCAAGTTATTAAAACAGACTTCCTTATTGTATGTAGTGGGAAGAATAAAATATTTCCATTTTTAGGAAAGACTAAATATTAAACAAACACTAAACAAAGTGCCACATAAGCATTCTGCTGGAATTAAGAATATCTGGTCATTTGACTAGGAGTGCTATTAATGAGAACTGTAAGTTTCACCTGAAGTAGAAAGTAAAAAGATACTTAAATGTATCTTATACATACTCTTAATTTTGCAAGTCAATAAGCATTGTGGTAAGTCTCTACATTCTGAGATATTTAAAGAGCTCATGAGTTGGCTACTCAAGTTTCTTGAACTGCTTCTGTGGCCAAACACAAAATTTACAATATCTGCTTTCAGCACCTTAGCAGCTGAAAAAAAGCCATAAGGATCAATAAAATAAGCAATACAGAAGCTGAAAGGGAAAATAGGTGGCAGTAATGCCTCAAACCCATACTAGGTTTGATCCTAACGGGTGTGAAATCCTCATATTTGAAGTAAATCGTTATGATACATTTCTCACGCCTTTAAGACAAAAACAGAGCGATTTATTATCTAAAGGAAAGAATATTAGTAAGTGCACTACAGCATAGCATACAGTGTTCAGTATTTATTTTTGCTCTTCATAGATTTTTATACTTTAAATAATTCTCAAAGCAAAATTTTCCAGATGAGATACAGTCAGTCTTCTTACATTACTTCAATATCTTACAATGTCTTCAGTCTTCTTACATTACTGTGCAATAGCATTTCTGCGAATGGATATAATTCCTGTAATCAGCAAGCTGCTTCAGGTACACATCCGAGGGCCACCTGTGCATCTCCACAAAATTGCGCTCGTCCACTAAAGAAAGCAACAAATGAATTAAACACAGTACACAAAAATGCAGGCACAAGTCAACAAACTGTAAAAAGAAAAAAAAAGGTTAAAATTAAAGATATAAATAAAAACTAAGGTGAAGAGGATAATTAAGAATTTAGTAAGGTTTTTTTCTTTTGATTCTATGTGTTTTTATCTCTGATTAAAATATAATGGACTTTTAGGTTGTATTGTTTAGGTGAATTCTATTGGACTTCATAAAACACACTTTCCATCTCTATATCCCAGCCTTTCCTGAATCAGTCTGCAGCAGCATTTGCCCAGTCTGGAAACTTAAGATAATGCAAATGAGGAGCAAACATCCTTTTTAACCAAAAAAACAAGTTCACCTACTGATAATTGCTATTTTTTGAGAAGTAGACTCTGCATCTGAATTCTAACTGTGAGAACATTTGCATCCTGACAAACGAGAGAGTTTTCCCTGACATACATATATTTACACGGGCACTTTTATTTCTTCCCTTTTTCTTGCCCAGTGCAAGGTCTATGATGCAGAGCCTACTTCTCAGTGAAGAATCATCTTGAAGAAACTCCGAGGAAAAAGAAAGGCCAAGTGGATGCAGCACTAGCTCTTCTGTGTGTCATATGCTAGTCCCACAGTAGGCTGGTGGACCTTCTGGCTCCGAATGCCAACGGATTGGATTAGGCCGTGTATCCAAAAAAAGTCTTACTCATTCCCTCATGCAGAAGTGGCGGTATTTGGAACTTCATTTCTAATCTAAGCAAAACTGAAAATACATTTACTGAAAAGAAAATATTTGATAATCTACCTGAAAGATCTTGAAATTCAGGCTTTTGGCTGAAGATGAGGTAGTTTGTGGCAATAAAATGAAGAAGCCAAGTCGAGAGGCAATCAGAATTGTGAAACTGCAAGAAGAAATACAAAAAATATTTGATTACTATCAGGTCTCAAAGAAGGAGAGAAAAACAATAACAAAGCTTACAGGCCAAAGTACATGATTTTGGATTGCAGCAGTCAGCACAGCAGTTTTATTAAATAAAGCTTTAACGAGAGGAGATAAAGAAGAAAAAGTCACTGAAAGAAATATGTGAATAGATGCAAACCCAAGCATGGACTGTAAAACTCCCCTCCCCAGCTGTGTGCCCTAACCGTATGCTACAGACTCTTGCTTTTTCCTGTGTTTCCTTTTGATCCCCTGAATCTTTGCTATTCTTTGCTTCTGCACAGCAGAAAAACTTCAGGAAAAAGAAAGGTGAGGAATGTCCCCTTCCTCCTGTCCATCTTATTTATTTAAATATTGATTATTTAAAATCAAAATACATAGTCTTATGTAATGTAAAAAAATATATACCTTAGCTTTTCGGAGCAAGCTAACAATACTGAGTCTTGTGGATGCCAGTTCTCTACTAGGCATGCTCTGCAGCTGCGTGATAATATAAAGCTCACAAATATGCTGCAGTCTTGTTACTTGGTACATCTCAGCACAAATCAGGAGAGACATAGCTTGCAGAATACTAGCTGGAAAAGAGCACAGCAGAAATTACATTTATTCTATTTTTTTATAAAGATGATGAAGGCCACTTTTCACAGAAACTTCTAACACTGCACACAACATCAAACTACTGTTGAATCCCTCTTTTTATTTTTCCACTGTTATTAGTGTTTGCTGTAACATATGAACTATGTAATTAACAGGACAAGAGTAGTTAGTGTAATACATTGTAGGCTATTGATTACACAGTCATATATATCTTAAAGAGGTTAAGTCAAATGCACTGGCCTGTTTAAAGAGAGTTATTAATAAAAGGATTAGCCTTCTAACTTTTCTCTTAAAAAAAAAAAAAGAAAAAGAAACCTCTATAATATATGTGAAAGAAAACAGAATACAACCCAAGAGGAATAGAATAACAATATTAAAAAAACCCAAAAAGATACACTTTTTCTACATTTAAACTAATGAAAGGTTAGAAAGATTCTTGACTCCTTATTGATTTTACTTGAATAATACTATTTTTTATTTGCAAAATCAAAAAAAAATCTCTTTCTTGAGACAGATCATACAGAAAAATATTGGCATGTTTCAATGAAGAAACTATAAACTTTCAAACTATATCAGCTCTTCAATTGAAAATATTTCTACTAATGTAAAGTAGGTTTTCTAATGAGTTTACAGTGCCAAGTGCACTGGGGGAAGTCCCGTATTACAACACTTTACACAAAGGATGAACACTTAAGAAAAGATAAGAAAAAAAGATAAGAAAAGAAGGGAAACTAAAAGATGCTCCTACTTTGATCTACATCCCTTCACTCTCCATGCCCCAGTGTGTCAGCAGATATATCTGTATTTTTAAATTTGCTTACCTGGACAACAGGAGTCGGTATAGAGATACTCCAGAAAGGAGAGGAAAGTATCTTTGGAAACCCCATAGACTGGAACCAGAATGTTATTTGCTTCCAGATAGTTACCATTAAACATAGCTGCCATTACTTCACAGCGAGCTACCAGAACTGCTCGGTGAGCTGGTACACTTGCACCTGCAAGATTTGCAACAAAAGTTTAAGATAATATTAAAATCTAGCCATGTATATAAATTTAAGTTCATGTAAGAAGACTCACATATCACGTAGCACATAAATAATTTTATGGAGTGTTTGAAATAAAAATACCACATACACAATTATTAACACATTTACTTTAGACCAGTCAAAGTTGATATACAGAAAGAGTAGCCACCAGCAAACAAAAGTATCACATTAACAGATTAGACCATAAAAAGAAAGAACGAAATTATTACTATACTCTTGGTCTTAATTATTATTCAAATATTATAATTATTGTGATGGACGTAGCAGAAATAAAAGCTTAAGAGAATTACCAAACAGTTAAAAAAAAAGTCAACATTTTGAGCAGATAAGCATATTTGTTTTTAAAAGTCAACTCATAAAACATTTTTTTTTCTATAAAATATACAGTGGTGCTACAATTTCATCAACTCCCCACAAAGCCTCTCTCAAGAACAGGACACTGAGCTGAATTGTTTATGTCATCAAACTCGGCCATAGCACTTTGTTCTCTTTGTCAAAGGTCTTTTTGTTTTTCCTGCATATTAAACAGAACATCTAGAAAGAATCCCTCCTTTTTGAGGGATTAATTCTTCGTATTTGGCTCCAAGATTTAAAGCTGAAAATAATTAAACAATTGTCTAATCCTAAAAGACCATTTCTGCACGGAAGCTGGGTGTAAACAAAACAAGAAAAACATTAGCATTTAAAAAGCATCACATTCTCATTCTCACAAAGTGTGCAAGGCTGTTTTCCTCCTCTCTTTTTATTTTTAAGAGCGAATGCATTTAATTTGCAGCAAATTTGTCCATGCTACTCTAGCATATTGGTACATTCTTTACAGACAAAGCAGAAGTAACGAATAGTTTCATTTGCAGGGTTCCTTCCGGCACTCTTGCCAAGGAGGGCTTAGCAGTCTTGGCAAGCAGGTTCATGAAAGGCCACCAGCAACCTCGCTGAGCTCACAAGGTAGCATTCTCCTAAAGCCACTCGTACCACACTATGTGTGTGGAAGGCTACATCCTCCAGGCAGTTTCAGTGCCATGAAGAGACTGAATCCTGGTTGCCTCTCTCCAACCTGGAATCTCCTCAATAAAATGTAAAAGGATTTCAAGTAAAAAGCAGGTAAGTTCAGGAAGTTAGCCCTTGCTCCCCAGAGTCAATCAAGAACACATTTTATTACTAACAGTGAAGGGGAAGAGATACTTTTTATTGTCTCTCAACAGATTTTTTAAAAAATATTTTAAATATTTGTTTTCACACTTTCCTGTCAGTGCAAGGAAAGTAGAGCAGACCCCTGAATACATGCATCTTGGAGCCTGAAAGGTTCATAGACCACCGGCACATGTCTAGGTGCTTGTGTGTATGTAGATGCAAGTGAAAAAATAAAATCATCTGATTTCTAGGATGCTCTGGCAGCATTTCCTGCACTAGAAGCATTACTAATTAGAAGTAGGCATGAATCACAGAGACACAAAGTCTGCTCCTGCAGGCAGATGTCACTTGTAAAGGCTCAGGCCTCATCAACTGTACTGCAAGTGGACACTGTGCTGTCCTTAATGCAGATGCAAGAGAAATACAGTCAGCTCCATTTTCCACTTATTTTACGGAGAGGATAAATGTTGGATTTGCAGATGCATCCATAGCAACAAACACAGATGTACTGTACCTTGTATTTTGAAGATGACATCAGCTAGCACAGGTGTATTAAAGAAAAGCCTGAGAGAAGTATTACACAGTTGTTTTATCTGGTGAGATCTGCAGTCCTTGAAATTGTTGAGCTGCAAAATAAATTCAAAAAATATTGTAATGTGTAGGTGCTCACAGGATAAGCGACTGCTCACAGGATAAGTGCCTACTAGGTCACTACACAACAACCTTTCACTCTGCACTTTATGTTCTTCTGCTAACGCTGCTCAACCACATCTTTCAGGAAAGTAATTATGGAATGATTTTTAATATTTCTTTTCCTGTTTCTCATGGTGTACCAGACCTAAAGCAAGTCTGCTACACTCACACTTTCTGAGCCCTGTCCTGATATTCTTTGACCTCTGACAGATATTTCCATCTACTGTTACTGGGCATGTGTACGCAGGATTACGAACTTGTTCAAGACCAAACATTATTCATATATATCTGTTTGAACACAAGCCTGCACCAAGAGAAGCTTTGGGGCCCTGCAGGAGGAGCAATTATAGCCATGCTGGATGTGTGCAGGTGTAAGCACACGGCCTTCTGGAGCGTACCAGAGCTGCCCATACCCTGAGCACGGAGTCCCTGCAGAGCAATGCCACATGCAGGTTTGAGGCACTCAGTAATTCCGGCTTCTTACTCTCGCAGTGCTGAGATTGCTTGCCAAGGACAAATGGAACTCACCGGATTAACCACTGACTTCAAGTAACGGGGGGATGCTAGCACTGAGATCCTCAAAACCTTTCATTTTCAGTTACTTTTTTTCCCTTCATTTTTTTCTTGATTTAAAAATGAGCCAATAAATTGAGTCCGATATACACAATAGTGCCACAATTATAAAAGAAACTGTCTCTTGCAAGCTACAGCAGGAGCAAAGCTTTTGGGCACATACCCAGGCCAGCCAAGCTTTCCTGGGCAGCCTCTATTACACGAGAATTAGGAACACATAATCATATTGTCAAACAGTGGGCAAAGCAGGAAATAAGTAATCCTTTTAAGGAACCTACTTATGTGCTTTTTACTGATTATATTAATTCTGCCCATCAGATCACCAGCTATGCCTTTCTATTTTGTAAATGCTTACGAGCATCCCATTGACAGATAAAAGACTATATAAATCAAAATCAGGTTAAAACAAAGAATTACAAGGAAACAATGTGTACAAAAGAATTTCCTAAGAACTTAATTAACTAATACTAAAAGTTACAACAGAAGACTTAGAGGTACCTTCCCAGGAGTTTTGAGGATGCATTTAACTTTCTCGAGCACGTGCTCAATTTTTTCAGGATCCTTCAGCTTCTTTTTTATATCCTCTTCTAACCGTTCCCACTGGAAAGCACCTGTCACAAAAGCAAAAAACAATGATGAATAAATAGAATAGGCACAGGACTTACCAGAAAGAAGAAAGATCACATCAGTGCTGAGCAGTTCTTACAGAAAAGATATTTTCAGCACTTTTGTCAGCTGTATCCTTATGCTCAGAAGGTTAAAGATATAGTTCTGCTATGATCAAACATTTACAGTAAATTGGTGCTCACTTTTTACAAAATTTCAGCAAAGTACAGACACTATGTCTAAATTTAGACCTTCAGTGCTGCCTGAAGGAAGGAGAGAAAAGACATGTATCTAGCTGCCTTGGACTAATTTAGAAATATGAACACTTGAAATTAGTCAAAGCTACTGAGAAGACCAACAGTATTTAAAAGAAAACTGCTGTTTGAAAGCATTCTCTTAGGTATGAATAAGGATCATTATAATTTTAATATATTTAGTATTAGAAATATTTCCATTGTAGTACAGTATCTGTGATCAGCTGTTTAATGAAACCCTGAGATAAAACATGGAAAAAAACCAAAAAGGCCATTTCTACCAGAACCTGTTAGTTTAGTCTCCATTAGACCAGCTGCACTGACTGTGCTCAAGGTGGCCAAGAGGTGCTGCTCTTCTCTCCTGCTGCAAGTTACTGCCTCCCGATGCATCAGATACGTTCAGCGTGCTAGCAACCCCGCTGCTGGCCACTGCAAAGCGTGCTAGCTTCCCCTGCATTTCGACCCGCCCTCACTCGCTTTTTGACTATACACGAGGGTTAAACCTGCATTTTCTATCTCAGTTATTTACCAAACGCACAAAGGTAACACTGCAGACATTTAATGGAAGTTTCTTGCAGGGCTGAATGGGCTGAGACAGAAAAAGTCACTGTTCACTCAATGAATAGTATGTTAAAGTATCCTTAAATATAATCACAGAACAATGCAACACTTGGAAATGATTTTCAGAGGAAAAAGGAAATCCACAGCTTCTCGACTACGTTATCCTTAGGAGACATATGAAATGTCTGAACCAGGAAAGTTTACAGCATAGTCAGTTACCAGTGACTAAAGAGTGCACAACATTTGCAGTGGAATTTCTTCTCTGTTTTCAGATTCCTGCTCATGGCGATCTCTCAATTTTCTCTATACTTTCCCCTGCCCTGTAAAATGGCAAGTTTTATTACCCAGCTTTAAAATATATTTCTTCTGATAGCCCAAAAAGGCTTCTAGTTGACTTGGAATACAGTCTAGCCCAAACAGTCAAGAATTTCTTGACAACAATTAAAATATACCTTATTACCAGATTTGTCAACTGCAAATCAAATGCCAGTAGTCAAGGAAACACATTATCCAGGAGATGTGCTCCTACAACAGACAAACTACTGCATTGGCTCTCTGTGGTCACCACTGACTTTGAAAGTGTTAACAGAGAGATTAATTAGGTTTCCTTAAATATGCATCTCTAATGATACAATTATTTTTTAATATAACTAAAATCAGAATCTATCATGAAGAAGTCTGCTAGGTCTTCCCACAAATCTGTTTCCAATGTCGTATTTTGTTGGTAAAGCTTTCAAGTGCAGCTTTAGGTTTTGGTTAAATAAAATACTGCATTTAATCTCTATTCATTGCATTTTGTATGCCAACTAATACACAAAAAGCTTGTATTTTAATGAAAGTTAGGTGAAGGACAATTTTCCACTAGACAGTAATCACAAGGGATAAACAGATGTCACAATATAGCACAAAAGAAATTTATCTCAACAGCAGCATATTTTTCCACATGACAGACATACACCTTAGCAACACATTTGCTGTAAAAGAAGTAATGAGCTGGGCCCATTCTCACGGGATACCTGAATAAATGAAGTGCAGAATGTCTGACAAACAAGAACAGAAGACCGAGTCTTTAACAACGACTCTTACTGGTGGGTCGCACGAGGAGCCGCTGCTGAGAGCTGGAAACACAGCCTCGTTGCTCACCGCAAAGAGAGACTGCGCCGTGCGGATAATAGCAGAATCGTGAATATCGGCTGGGCTCTTCACATTGAAAAGCAGCATGAAGACATGGCTTACGGCGCACAAAATGATCTTGTGAGCTTCTACTATTTTCTTTAAGTCTTCAGAGTAAAATACCACATCCACGCACTGGCAGCAGAACAGCAAGTTGTGCAAATCAGAGTCATAGTGCGAGGCTTCGCCTCTTAGGATGGGCATTTTTTCTAGAAAAGAAAATGAGTTGGTCTGTAAATTTTAAGTATTATCATCAAATGGTCCAGAAAAATCACTGTTCCATATATTTTTGTATAAATATATTAGAGATCCATTGCAATGCTACATACTGCATACAAAATCTCCCCAAAGAAATTAAAGCATCACTACAGGATTGTGCAACTATAGCAAGACAACCACAGCAGCTAGTGACAGGTAATAATTATGACAATACATTACTTGCATAAAATACACCATATATATATAACAAATAATATAGTGAAGATAGGATATCAGTGAGCACCTGGTTGTTCAAGCTGAGGTGGTTTAACTCGATGACACTTTTGAGTCTTTTTTCTTTTCTTCATTTTGTCAGACGACTTCTGATTCAAACTTTGGATCATAAAATATTCCAGCTAAAACATCAAGTGCATTTTTAAAAACACTAGTTATTTAAGAACGAACTTATATCAATCTAAGAATGATGAATAGATATTATATGCAAAACTCAAGTCAGTGCCATTATGAACAGTAATCTAAGTTATCAGAGTTGTAATACTTCTTTATCACTAAAAAAAAATCAAATGTAGTTGGAATTAGCATAATTTAAAAGATTACTAATTCCAAATGATGATGGTTAATTGGACTTAATCTGGGCAGAAATGACAGGTATACGACCAGAAAGAAAGTCACTTTTTCAACCTTAGCGGATGTGAGCTATAGAATTACAGAGAAAAATAAGACTTGAATAATGATTGGGTGCTACTAATGGACACAACAAACAAAGATGTAAAATCTTATGCAAACAACCAACACTACCACACAAAGCTAAACTTTTTTCTAGAAAAGCTGCATTAAAATATGATGTATTCGACCACGGTTCGTTCTAAGAAATTAAAGTCAAAAATTGCATAGCAGAATTCCCTGTTTTTGGGAGAGTGGGGGAAGAAGTTAATCCCAGATGATGCATTATAACAAACTGGGCAGTTCCTGCCTGGTGTAACTTTACTGTGAGTGACCACGTTGTCTGCCCGGAGCTCTGCACTGCTCAATGACTGTGATTCACACAACTATAGGAACATGTTAAAAAGGAAAATCAAGCACTTACACATTCTCACTTTTTACAAGTGGAACAATTTAAGAAATTGAACAATGAAAATCCCAAACTAACAGAAGATGAGGGAGTAATTCAGACTGGAAATCACCTCTGGAGGTCACCTAGTCAAATCACCTTACTGAAAGCAGAAGTTATCTTCAAAGTTTGATGAGATGGTGAGAGCCTTTTACAGTTGAGTTTTGATCATCTTACTTGAACAAATAGAAAGGCTAGAAGTAGTGAAAAAATCTTCCTCTACTTCAGTTTCCCTAAAATTTCTTAAAAGGTAGTTAAAACGGGAACAGCATTAGTATTACTAATTCTGCTAGCACCAGTGGGAATTCACTGTGAGTGGGAAGCATGATGGAATGCCTCTACTTGCTCTCTTCAGTAACAAATTTTGTACTTGACATTTGCACTACAGTGTTACACATTGAGTTCAAGATTTTAACTAATTATTGGAAAGATTTGCTCTATACTGGACTTGCAATACTACAGTTTCTACACTTACCACTCCTCCAAAATATTTTTGTATGTAGAAGTCATTAAGAGTATGCAGCTCAAGGTATGTAGCTCCTAGTTCTTTAGCAAGCTGAATTCCTTCAGAAGTAGTAACACAGCTCCTTCTGTCTGAAGTACACAGTGGGCAGGTGCAAGGCACTTCTGAGAAAATAAATGACTTGCATAAGTTGTTCTCATTCAATAATCTGAATGGATGCCTGGAAACTCTTGTTTTAGCCAAATGCTAAAAATAAAAGACAACTAGAGAAACAAATCTGACAGTTTTTATTTTGCCTTAGAAGCAAAACTGAAAAAGGGGTGTGTGGGGGGACACTAAAAATAGTTTAAAAAAAGCTAAAAACAAACAAACAAAAACCAAAAAGGATGACATGATAAAATAAACCTGCTTGAAAAATCAACAGAAGCACAATATAAAATGCTTCAAAATACAAAATAAAGTTGGTGTGTTTATCAGTATCCAGTATCTTTTTAAAGCTTATTTCCTTGATGTGAGCAGAGCAAAGGTACTAATATCTATCTGAACCATAAACATGTTTTCATTGGAACTATGTCTGTCAAGTGTGGATCGCTTTGAAGCCCACTCAGTCTTTCAGTTCTAAAAATAACTATCCATAGTTTTCCGGCTATGATGTACATGTTTACTAAAAAAAAAAGATAACAAAAATCCAAAAAATCATTTGTTCTGAGTATATGAGCAGGCTAAGGCAATTTTCATAGTTCTCTCACCAGACCTAACCAGCCCTGAGAGGACATTGTGTTAACACATAGCTATACCATAGCTACTCTACTGTAAGTTTAATTGTATGAATATGGCAGCACTCTGTTCCTTCTGGTTATGTTAGCACAACATCCACAACAACAGGGTTGGTGATTTAATTCTTTGAACCACATGCTAGAGAATTTATCCTCCTCTTCAGTGACTCCAAGCTAATGGATCTCATTTCACCTCACTTACTAGAGATACTTTATGCTGGATATAATGACTACAGACAACCCAAAACTGTAACATTCATCTCATACACTCAAGCTTGAGTCTGTTGCTAACAGGATGCTATCCTGGAAAAATATCCAGCTTTTACTGAAAATCACTCTATACATAACTTCCAAATGATGTTTTTAATGTTTACTACATAAGATTGAATACATACCATTTTTTCTTGCACCAATAGCAGAAATTATTACAGGAATTGAACAGTGGTTTAATGCTTTTTTTATCATTGGGACATAACTGTCTTTTAATTGTTGAAATGAAGTCTTGTCATTGACAGAGTATTTAATCACAATAATATCGGCTCCTCCAATGAGACTGCGAGAAGTATACCAGTCACTGTCAAATATATCCTAAACAGAAGAAACACTGATCAAGAATCCTCTTATTTATAAATGGAAGCACCAAGTATTCAATATTTTTAACACAAAACCTCACAGACACATCTTCAAAGGATACTTCCAAACTCTTATTTGAAGCGAGTCAACAGAAAAAGAGCAGAATTTGTGCTTTATAATTTTCTCCATTATAATTATATATAATTTCCTCTTTTATATACATACACATATATATAAGCATATCATACTATCAGCAAGTGAAATGGCTTTTATTCTCAATAGAGTAGGTATTTTTCATGGCTTCAAAATAACCGTTTCAAAACTATGTTAAATTAGCTGCAGAACTCTTCAGTGTAAGAGCACACTACCTTGACAAATATATGTCAATGGGCAAATATTTGTCTAGACTGTCAGTGCATTTTGTACCCAATTTAGACCTTATCTCTACAAAGACTTAAATCAGGAAACAAGACTAAAGTAGAGCAGGTGTTCCTGTGAATTACTGTAGTAGATGTTCTTGTTCTGGAATAAGAGAATCGGAGAGATTTAATTAACAAGTTAATAAGAATAGCTATTCCAAAGCATGTTGACATGTTCAGCATGTTGACAAGAGCTTTAAGAGCAATGCTCTTTTTTTTTTTCCGTTAAGTCAGAGACTATTACAAACCCAGACTTAGGAAACTCTCCACCAGCACTTAAAAGCATCATTTAGACACCTTAATCCAGCCATACATCAACTTCAGTTTTGATTCACTTCTCTACCCAACTGTTTTGCAGTGTGGTTTCATCCTTGCTAATGCTTGTAACCAACATGTTTCAGCTTCTGTTCTGTGCCCTATTTTAAGGAAACTGGATAACTACTGTCACTAAAACCTGCACAGTATTTTGCAACCTGATGCCTGGCATTTAATCCATGATTTTTTTTCTCATAGGCTTCTCACAGGAATCAGCAGAACCTCTTTAGTCTGCGGCAATCAATGAATCCTTGTCAAACAAATGAAAAGGTCCAGTTTGACAGCCAGAAGAGCATACTTTCTTTTTAGTAAAAAGATAAAATCCATACATAAAGACACGAGTCTTTATCATTATCTTATCATTATCATTATCTTTATCATTAGTAGTCAGATTACGAGCTGCATCATGTTGAGACAGCCAACTAGATGAGCTTTCTGAGAACCACGTTAGAAACTGGAATATCATCTCTTCTACTTTAGATAGTGAAGTTCTCCATATAAAATTTTGTAGCACACTGATGTATATTTAGCATGACTAAAGGCTTAAGGGAACAAGAGAATATCCCTAAATAATACAGGTTATTCATAACCAGAATAACAGGAATAAGAGAAGAATATTTAATTTTCATATGTTAGAAAACAGAAGTATCAGGGACTGTTCCTTTGTAGTTTTCTCCTACATGCCTGCTTTCAAGTTCAGTCCAAGTTTGCACATGTTCATCTGTGTAAGCTTGGGAAAACCAGCAAAATCCCCACTGAAGGCTAATGCACGGGTGAGTAAAGATACATGAACTCTCCAACAAGTCTGAGCACTACTAGAAAAAGTACTTATGGAAATCGTTTATAGAGTGGAACATGCTGTTTAAACTGAGACCCCCAAAACTTCAACCTTGAAGACGGGTTTTTTTTACAGAGATAAAGGATAATGGATATGCTCCCAGGGGGCTCACCATGATTATCTTTATCTTGCAGCAAATCTGTGGTAGCTTGTTCAGGTTACTGCTCAGGTACTGGGAAAAGCTGCTGAAAATATGTCTGACAATGAAAGGTTACTTGCCCAACACGTCATGAAGACAGAACACCCGGAGCCTTAGCCAAATTAAGCATACCTTGCTTATCACCTTTAAGGCACTTTTCATGTAAAAACAGTGGAATGGACTTCTTTAGACTATTCACCTTCTATGAAATTCCCTAGCAGCTACTTCTTGTCACTTCCTGCTCCTGAAACAATTCACTTCCTAAGACAGTCATTGACAACACCAGTGACAAAAGAAAAACTAACAGCACAACTATGGGTCCTCCAGCCTTATTAATTTAAATTATAATCCCCTTGCTTCCTCTCAAGATTTACTAGGGAAAAAAAAAAAAAGGCTTTGTTCTTTTCTTACGTGTCTTAGACGCACACATGCCTCAGCACATGTTGCCATGAGTAAACCATACTTGCAAGGACTAAAGGTTATAAAGCCTGGACAGGCAAAGAGGATGTCATTTCCCTACAAAATCATACAGACTTGGTATCTGTACAGTATTTCTGTTGTGGGAAGTAATTTATGAATGCCTTTCTGGAACTGCAGTGAAACTGCTCTGCACTTGCAATGCCCACGCTTCTAAAGGCCGCTCACAGGAATGTAAGAAATGCCCTAATGGTCCCTCTAGCTCAGTACTTCATTTGCTTCAGCAGCAATAACTACCTCCCTAGGGAGAGCACAGGAGCCTGGACACACATTCCCCTTCTACTTCCACAAAATCCCAAACTACTGCAATTAGGAATATTAGAAAGGTGTCTAGAACATGTAGACAACCTGCTGAGAAGCTAGAAAGTTGTCCCAAATCCATTTATGGAATCATTCTCCATTAATTCACCAACTTGGAGCCTGCCATCTGCCTTCTCAAACTCCTGTGACAGCAAGCTCCAGAAGCTAACTGCCTCCTGTATAAAGAAGCATTTTGTTTTACCTGTTTTCAACTGATTAGCTAACGGTTTTACTTAAATGTCCCCCAGGTCTCATATTGCAGGAGTTGTAATGAAAAAAACCGTCAAAAACATTTTCTACATCAGCTTCTATGTGCCTCCATATGATTTGAAGATGATCTCCGCAAGTTTGCCAGGCAACAGAATTTCTAATCAGTCACTTCCACTAGCTGGCCTAACAAATTCTATAGGTGCATTCTCTATAACTTACTAGGCCTTTCAACAAATTTAGCTAAGCAACTTGTAGCATATAAATCAAGGCAAATCATAACACAATCATGAAAAGGCTTTTTTTTTTTTTTTTTTTTTTTTAAACGCAAGGCTTTCCAAAACAGTTTTAGCTTTAATAGGCTGAGCACAAAACAAATAAACAAACAAACAAAACACTATGAAGGCTAGGATTGCTCTGCTATCAAAGTAAGCAAGCAAGCAAACAAACAATAGGGAAAATAACGGGATTATGATCAAACTGCCAACTTCAGACAGCCAAGCTTTAAAATGAGAAAGGATGACATCCCAACAATGAAAATGTGCAATCTATAGTTCTAGAATGAAGTTGAAATGTGAGGGGCTAATAGTAATGAATAAAATAAAAAGATTGTTTTCCGTTCAGACATGCAAAGGGGCCAAAGGGCCTGTCAGCCTAGCCAGGAATCTGAGCCTAAGGAAGCTGCTAAGGGAAGGGGAAAAGTATGCTGTGGATGGCCTCACAACTGTAAGCAAACTCACAGCATTCGAGGGACTGGTATGGTTGCCACAAACAGGAAAACTTGTAAAGATTCATGGAAACAGAAAGAGAGAAGTTCTTTGGAAAGATTCGCAGAACACCTTTCCAAAACTGCAGATAATATATTTGAGCTTTAGTCAGTTCCATGGAGGGCTTGCAATGCCCATGAAAAAGTCCTCATAAGCCACAACCTGCCTCGCTGGAGGCTTAATGAAACTCAGCATAAAGCAACTGCAGCTGCAACCTACATGCAAGCCAATGAAACAGCACCTCTGTTCCCAAGGCGGATATGCCTTGCTAAATAAACCAACTCTTACCAAAGCAATTCATAACATTCATCTTGCAAATTCTTCCTTATTGGTTCCCAGTGCCATACTGAGGTTTACAAAAAAAAAAAGAAAAAGGGGCACACCCCAGCCAAGCACGCTATATATATACACAAACTAAGCAGGCATTGGCAACTGATGAGGTAGAAAAATCACACTATGCAGCAGTGATGATAGCACAAATGGCCTTCCTCAGTTCTTTACAGCTCCTCTCAGTTTATGTCTGTATATTTTGTCAAAATATTTTCCAGCTGTTTGAACCACTAAGAAATCTGTCTATTTGGATATCTGACCACTCAGCATGGAAGATATCAGCACAGAGTTTTATAAACATAGTTCAGGACATAGCAGGCCACAGGCACATGCTCAGTACACTGAGATAAAAGTGATTATGGAAACAGTGGCATTTTGCATTTAGATTTTGCAAAGTATGCTCCACCACCATCTCTAAAACTCCCTGTCATCTCTGTAAATGATAAACATGCTCCCTAAAGCAAACATTTCTTTCCTGCACTCTTCAGATGTCTCTTGGGAAGAGATCTTCTCAAAATATGGTTATGATTACTAATGAGAATCATGAATTGGGAATCATGAATTCTCCTGATTTTTTAAGGCCAGAAATATCAAAGAAGACAGTACACTGCACAGTTTACACATACTCGTTTCTTAAAGCGGAAGAGAGCAACTGCACGGGTAGCCCCATTGCAGGCTGGAAACACCATTCTCCAATATTTATCCATAACATTTATCCAGATATTACTTATGAGTAGTCAGCATCAGGAATCAGGAATCAACCATTTTTCAGCAGCCCATATGAATCACTATAGAAGCAGGCTGTTGTCTCAGTGTTTGGAAAGCTGCGCAGCATTCTGGGCTGACAAAGACTCATGCAGAGGTGAAATAAAGAAATGTTCTCCTAGCATCAGAAAGGAAAAGTAGAGTTAACTCAGCCTTTAACCACCTTTTATCTCATAAAAGGGCCTAGCTATGCCCTGGGGGACTTCACTGTGCATCCCTCTGCTTCTCCACACCGATGGCTAAAAAGGAACCGTGCAGAGGAGGAATTGCAGTTTGCCTCACTGGAGCCACAGCTATCAGTGCATGCAGCTGCCAAAGGACTAGCTCACCTTAACCGTGTACATTTAATCCAGACAAGATACAAACTGATACAGGATGCCAACCTGCCTTTACTAGCTCTGAAGATACAGTTCTCAAGGGCTGAGTAAAGTGCACGGAATCAGGCAGCTAAATAGTTATTAAAATACGCTTTAGCACATTCAGATGATCAATGTCATTTCTTATGTAAACACTGTTCTGCTCATACTTGAGCCGCCTCACTTACTAACGAGAGTGCTGACAACATGGGAACACTGCCAAAATCCTTTAAACACTATTTCCTATATGAGAAGGTAAGTAAAGATGTGATTAGGCATTATAACAGAAAATGACTACATATACAGTATTCTGCAATAGATTAAATCTTAATATCTGTCATATCTCCAAGTCTTTCCATTTCTGGAAAAAAAAAAACGTGTTTTGCTTTATTGTTGTAGATAAATAGTTGGAGACACTACTTATATTCCAGCTTCACAAAGAGTTTCTTGTTACTGCTGGATTATTTGCAGTAAACTTTTCACTAAGCAATAAATATCACCATGAGGCATATGAAACATATTGGCTTGTTAATGAGGAACATTTCATCACACTCCCCGAAGGATTTTTGGTATTTACCTTAGTTACCTTTTATATGCTTTATATGCTTTTTTTTTTTTTTTTTTGCTAAATATGACTAAATCCCATAATAATAAAAACATTTCATCTGATTAAAACAGCCTATGCTGTCCAGTTCAGTTAATAAGCTTCAGCCCAATCTCTTACCCAAAGAGGACAATCATGCACCACCAATCGGACATTTCCAAACACTCGGGCTCGGTACTCGGTGAGCGCCGGGTTTCTCACGTGATGGGCAGAATTCAGCAGCACACTGCTTTCTGTCTCCGAAACGAGCGCGCTTCTCCTGAGGTAGCTCCAGATCAGGCTGGACTGCTGATTGTCTTCAGAAGATCCATCTCTCTCATTTCCAAAGGCTACGATATTCACAGACCTAGAAGGAGAGTAATGAAAATACAGCTGTGTTAATAAAGATCAATAAAAGGGTTAAGGAAAAAACATCCCTTTGAATCAAAACATATTAATCCTTCAGAATCCTCTTCTTTCATTAGATTTTAACACCCCCAGTAATCAACAGCAAGACACATACATGATCTCAAATCCAATAGCAGGATGAGAGCAAAGTGGAAAAGAAACCTGGAAATGCTGCCTGCATTATAAGCCCCCAGCTTGCTTGGCTCTCTGTTTCTCCGTTTCCACGCTCGGTCTCAGTGGGGCAGCCTCCAGCAGTCCTGCTGCATGTGCTCTCGTGCTCGCAACACGCTCTTGTTTCGAGCCAGGAGCGCGGGCGCGCGTGGCAGCGGCGGAGCGCGGCTCTTCGCTGCGCTGGAGGTGAGTGGAGCAAGCGAAGGGAGCAGTCGGAGCGCTCGGCCACGGCGCCCTGACGTCAGCCACCGCGCTCAAAAGCACGCCACGCCACGGGGAGGGAGATTCAGCAGCTCTGCAGAGCCAGCAGCAGCAGTCAGGTCAGCAGCAAGAAGCAGCGGCGCTTGAGCAGAGCGGCGTCTTGCTGCACCCAGGGCTGCTGTGTGCTGCGCTGCTGCTGCTGCTGCTGCTGCTGCTGGGCAAAAATAAACTCTCATGCCATAAATCCGGGAAACCGCTGCCGGCTAATCTGCATTAGCGGCGTGCCCAGCCATACCAAGTGAGGGGAAAGCAGTGAAGGACAAGCTCAGCTAAAGACGAGAACAACAGGAGGTAATGAATTACCTCCCAGGTAACTCACCTAGGAGGTAATTAAAGTAATGCAATCTCTGTTCAGTTTAATAATAGTTAAATTTTGCAATTATTAGGTCAATGCATTACTGAATATCTGTGTTGTTTTTCTTTTTTTTTTCTGTTACACTGCTTTTTGAAACCCTGCTTTGAAAAGAACAATTTTTAAATATAATAAAATGAACACAGTTTTTTATATGACCAAATTTGTTCTCTATTGGCTACCACTACATATATCAGAATTTAAAATAGAGTCAAAATACTCTAGATATATTATGCAATAAAAGAACACTCCCTATAAGGCAAATACATTCTGCTGTTAATCCCGCAGGTAAAGGTACTAAGTTACATGAACGCACTTAACACAGGTCTTGATAAGACAAGCAGCAAAATAGTTATTTTATTAACAGATAAAATCCCGACTCAGGGAAGGAGTGCATGGGGACCAAGATGTCACCTACTTCAGTGCCATCACCGTCAGCTCTGTGGTGTTTCACACCCACAGCTAATTTAGAATATAAACACAAGTGGCCAACTACTTTGCAATAATGACTGACAGTGTGCAAGAACTGAAACACAGCACTAGCAATAATGGCAAATAATGTGAACTGTCAGCAAAGGGTGTGCTGTTAATCAATGCCAGGCTGGTAGAGGTTTCTTAACAAGTCTGATTTATCAGTGTGCTAAGCAGTGCCACCACAGTCAGGTGTGATCCCCAGCTGAGACAGACAGGCAAAGAGACAGACATATACACACATATTCAGCTGCATTGCTGGGAAGGAAACTGCATTGGTAAGTACGGCAGACCTAGGGTAAGTGACTCAGCTGATCCAAATCCCAAATGGCAGAGGCAACTCTTCTGGACCTAGCACTGCCCAAAAAGTGAGAAGGCCTGGGGCAGGGCTGGAGAGTCATAGAGGACACCCATTTTCCTCTCTGTCTGTCCTTGAACCATCTGGGGAGCTAATGGGAACTGCCAGGCGCATTAATTCTGCAGGCAGTGTATTCTGCAGACAGCGGGTACTGGACTCAGCTCACCTGATAAACACCACTTAAAACTTCCAGATTAAAATACTGTAATATGTTAGTAACAATTTAGCAACCAGAAAGCATAAAATAATGAAAAGATGATGAAAATACTGCCTGCTCTTACTTACTGCCTGTAAGTAGGTCCATAGCCCCATTTTTGCCTCTGCATTGCTGGATGGTTATATAATGCACTTGGAAAGAAGAGTTAACTGTTCAATTGCAGTAAACAGCATGAACCGAGAAGCTGCTTGGCACCTCTGCCGCAAATGCAGTTATGTGGGCACTGCAAGCAAAAGCAATAAAAGAGTGTTCAGCTAAAAGAACACATTTATAAAACACTGCTTGACTATTTCCTATTCTGCAATCTGGAGCTGAGTATCCTAGGATCAGCAAACGGTTCATCCAGCAGACATTTACCACTGCTGCTGACATACAAAGACAAAATTACAGAAAACAGGGACAGTCTTTGACAGGATTCAGAAAACAATGGCATATTTGATCTCAGGCATTTCAATACAGAACATTGCTACATTGTTTCAAATGATTTCTCATGAAGATTTCCAGTGACTATCTCATACAAAACAATGAAAAGAAATATCTAGTCTTTGCTGACAAAAGGGTAATGCCATTTTCTATGGCAAGGAGGGAGCTGCAGCCAAGTCAGTGAAAAGGATTTCCTCATGATGGAAGCTGTACTCTTACTTGCACTGATCCAAAAGTGACTAACAAACCGTTATTTTCACAAATGAGAGGCAACTCGAGGCTCTCGAATTCAAAGTTGTTGGCAGTCCTGCCTATTCACTGCTGCTGTATGTTGATTTTGTGTCAATTCTAATCCTGTTGATTCATGGAGCTTCCATTGACTTTAACAGCAGCACTGGGTAGACAAGAAATTAACAGTATTTTCTAGGAGAGGTAAATTTTCAAATAGCTTTTTAAAAGAATACAGAAAATCACTTCAAATAACAGTAATATTATTGGTGAATAGATTTGTTTTCTCCTAATAACACAAAATATAACCTTTCTTGGGCTTGATTTTATTGGTGTTTGTACTAGAGTGATTGTTGCTTTAGGTTTTAACAGCCAAGATGTCTCGCAGAGATAAAGTGTAAATCAACAAAAGGAGATTTTCTGACGTTCTTATCTGTCAAATTCAAGCCAACAAAAGCACCGGGGAAACAAATGATGGCATGCTCTTAGGGGTTACTAATATTTTTCAGCACAGCCATGCCAAGAAAACTTTGTAGGGTTAATCTGACTTGAAAGCACCGGTCTGCATAAATACTTCAGTGGCAGAGATTCAAGAGAGCCACAGTTCAAGAGCTTGCACAACCACTCCCTGGCAGGGCTTACTGGCCCTCCAGCCCTCAGGGCTGCAGTGCCACACTTCAGTAAACTCTGATCTGGCGATACTGTGTCAAAGCCATCATCATAAAGGATGCAATATATTGACCAGCATGAACTCATTCTCTTGGTTCAAAGTCATTTAAAAATGACTTTGCAGCTTAACTTTGTAAAGGGTGTGCCAGCTGACTGCATGTAAAACACAGTCACGTACGGTCACATTCGGTAGTCCCAGGTAATCCTGAGCACATAGATGCATCCTTAACAGTAACAGCGATAAGCAGAGCCTCTGTGTGCCAGCTCAGCCATTTGCGTAGTTCCATTTGAATGGGATAAAGCACAGGACACACAAACCGCCCTGTTGAGCCAAGCTATTGTTCCGTCTGATCCGATGCTACATCCAACAGCAGCTATACGAGAGGCTGCTTAGGGAAGCACTGAGAGCTGTGCTCATGTTTGAAGTCCATTCCCCTTGCATTCTTCCAGCATCCATGAGGAAGTTAGCAGATGCACCCCTGCACAGCACCCCAATACCTGTTTACAGACCTGTTGCCCATAAACTTGTCTAACCCCTTTCCCAGCTCGCCAGTATTGCCTGCCCCTGGGACCTCCTAGGGAAGCGAGGTCAGCAAGTTTACCACTCACTGGGTGAAAAGAGCAGCTTGTTACAAACTGTCTCTTATGAGTTTCATCAAGTGGCTTCTAAACTGAGCACTGCAAGACTTGGTGAGTAACAGCCCCACCTTTACACTACCTACCACCTTTACAGTTCTGTAAACCTCAGTCATCACCCTCACAGCCTTTGCCTCCCAAAATAAAAGAGCCCTATGGCTTGTAGGTTCTCTTAGCAAATCAGCTGCTCCATGCCCTTGATCATTTTATAACATAGTTATCTAACAAAGTTCATTTCTTACTCCTTCAGTACCATGAGGTCCTTATGGATTTACTCGGTGTCACCTGCAGACTTGGGAGTTTTCATTGTTCACCACCTTCCTCAGGCCGCTAACGAAGACATCAAACACAGCCAGTACAAATCCCAGGACATCTGCAGTATGGTCACACGATCCTTGAGAGGTGACCGGGCAAGTCCCTAAGCAACTGGATCTAACCAGACCAGGTTTGAGCAGGGGGGGTCTAGATGACTTCCAGAGGTCCTTTCCAAACTGAACTATTCTGTGAACTGTCTCCTTTCTGAAGTGTAACCTTCAAGCCCTATCCTTCACTTTCTAGTCTTGAACCATCTTTCAGTTCAACACCAACCTCTTGCCCAATCCTGTGGCAACTTAGTTCCTTTACAAAGCTTAATCAGCTTTATAGAAAGCTTGTCAAAGGCTTTTTGGAAAACACAAGTGGATTACCACGTGCACAGAATCCCCTTTATTCACATAATGCCCTTCCTCCAAACTCCAGCAGGTTAGTGAGGCAGGACTGCCCTTGACTAACACGAGCTGCACTGACTTCATCCCAACAGGGTTGTGTATATCCAGGAGTTCTTTTTCATAGATTTTATCATCTTAACAGAAATGATACCAGCTGCCCTCCTAGCTGTCACTGCAGCAGTAAAAGGTTTCTGCACCATCAGCAAGCCTGACTTGCAGCAACGCCTATGAGCACAGAGACCCGTGTCTTGGGCTCTCAGTGTCCCCATTTGAGCAGGGGCTTGGACTGGATGATCTCTAGGGGTCCCTTGCAACCTCTACCATTCTGTGATTCTGTGTGATTCTGCAAAGGGCTGAGATTATATTAAATGCTGCGTGAGAAAATACTCCTCCTCGCACTGATCAGAGCGTGCAAGTGAAGACTGATGCACAGAAACACCTTAAGATGCTCTTGAATGTTTTGGAAGCAGAAGCAAGCGCAGGCGAGGAAAACAGGCTTTGAGAAACTCGCTCGGGCTCTGCCGGGGGGCAGGTCCATGCCGGCCGCGCACGTCCCCGCGGGCGCCTCGCCGCCCGCAGCCTCCCGGCGGCGCCACGTGCCGGCCAGGGCGCCGCCTAACGGCCGCAACGGCCGCGCCAACGGCCGCGCGCGGCAGCGGCGCCATGTTGCGGGCGGGCTGCGGGCGCGGGCTGCGCGCCTGGCGGCGGCGGCCGGCGCGCCGCGCATACTGGCGCAGCGTGGGCTTGACGGAGGGCATCGTGTCGCAGGCGGACACGGACCACCACTTCGTGCACAGGAGC